ACACACCGCCCTCCCGCGGTCCCGGTACGTACGTCGCGCGCTCAGCCTGACCGCGCGTGTCAAATGTGCCTCGCCCGCGAGCTAGTATCACGGGGACACGCGTCCAGCATGCGTGAATCCATGAACTGCAGAACGACCTCCGCGCTGGTCGTTTCCGTACGTCCAGCATTGCTGACAGGCGGTCACTTCTTCCAATATATCCATCCAGCGGAGCGTCGTCAACGGGCGAGCGAGTGAGCTAGCGAAGAGGTGAGATTGAGCATGCGAGCCAGCGAGGGGGACAGTAGGCAGACGAGCGGGGCGAGCGAGTGTGTGAGAAGCCAGGTGGGTGAGAAGGACCAGACCGGAGAGAGCGAACGGGTGGGAGCGAGCGGGTGAGAGAGACGGGCATGAGGGCGGCGGACGAGGGCGGTGGACGAGCGGGCGAGCGGACAAGCGTAGCGGCGGGCGGGCGGACGTGTGGGCGAGTGAGCACACAGAACGAGCTACTCGCCGACTCGCGCACACGGGCGTGTACTGACAACAGAGGCGGTGATAAGTGCATGTATCAAACGAGGCGCACCTTTGGTTTTCGAGCCTTTGCACTCGCTGTAGTCTCCCTCTTCCCCGAGTCGCCCTTCACGTTCCACCCACCCTCTATTACCTCCTTCCGCGTTCGGTTTCTTATGACCAGGAGACGGCGCGCGAGCCTTGACGCACGGGGGTTAGCCATGGTGGTTCATTCGACGATCCAGTAAGTGAGACGAGCCGACGACCGAGTGTTAATGGGCAGGTCAAGATGGCGTGCTAGCAGGAAGATGGGTGGACGCGTGCGGCGAGCAGTGGGTGGGCGAGACTGGACTCTGGCGGTCGTCGAGAGCCAGGCTCGGGCGCTAAAGACTTGGCGCTGCCAGCGCATCCGTCCAGTGCCACGTATCTGGCTTGCCCGCCCTCTCGCGATGTTCTCTACCTCAAGTCTACCTTCTCGCGCCCATCCACCCTCCTGTGCGTGCCACTGCCCACGCTCTCCCGCCCGCTCTCTCGCGTCCGCCCGCTCTCTCGCACCCGCCCGTTCTCTCGCGCCCGCCCGCTGTTGCCTACCTGCTCCCGCCGCCTGCTCAACCGTTCTCGACGCCTCCTCACCACCCCCCACCATCTGTTCACCAGCCCTCGCTGCCTGCTCGTGCACTTTCATCGCCCGTCTCGCTCGTCTCGCTCACTGGGACCTGCCTGTCTGGCGCTCTCGCTGTTCTTGGCTGCTCACTGTCGACCGCTACCTTGCCTGTAGGTTGTTGACCTGCTCTCTCGCCCACTCGTCCCCTGTTCCTGCCCACCCACCTGCTCGCTCCCTTACTAGATTGCCCACCAGCTCGCTTACTCGCCCACTCGGTCTCTTGTCCTCTCCCTAGCTCACCCGTCTGCTCGCGCATACATCGTCTCACTCTATGAAGACAAATGTCCACCTGTCCGACCTGCTCTCGTGCTCCCCCTGTCGTGCCCGCCTGCCCTCCTGCGCACGCTCTCACGCGTCTCGTCCGCCGTCTGCTTACCCACACCCTTAGTAGCTTGTTCGCCTCCCCGGTCTCGCCTTTTCGCTGGCTTGCCCACTCTCCCGCTCTCGCCCGCCCGCTCATTCTTACCCACCTGCCCCTCTTGCTAGCTCTTGTCTTCCCGCGCTTGCATTCTTACTAGGTCGCTCGTCCACCCGCTTTTTCCCGTCTGCCTGTCTTTCCTGTACGCCTGTCTTGCCTTCCTGCACCCTCACCTTCCTGCCAACTCACTTGCCGGCCCGTTTGCGTTCACCTATACCGCCCGCTCGACCTGTCTCACTTTCTGCTCTGTTGTCTGCACGCCCTCGGGTTGCAGTCGATCGCGACAACTTCGCATCTGATGGCAACATTTTCAAGCTCGTTGGCCTTCTCACGATCTTCGACTCGGACACCAAGCAGACAATTTACGAAGCACAGGCCCTCGATATCCAGATGCTGCTGCGCGATCATCGATATCTCTTTCCCGGCGATGTCGAGGTATGTGTTTTAGAGTTGCCCTGTATTGATATTGACCTACCCACCCAGCACATTCCCGCAATGGTACACGCCTTCGAGCGTGCACTACCACGAGCACATTGATAGCTCCAATCGGAGCGGGGACTGTAGTCGACGAATGGGTGGCGGTGAGTACAGACACAGACAGATGAATGAGCTGACTGCCCGCACAGTGCGGCGGCGTGCAGCACAACACGTACGACGACCGCGGGCACGCAGGGCCAATGCCCTGCGTGTTAGACACGGCCGATGGGCGGTCGACAGGTAGGCGGGCGAGTCGTCGGATGGCGGATGAGCAGGTGGAGGAGCGGGCAATCCGACAAGTGGGCCAGCGGGTGTGCGAGTGAACGTGCAGATGAGTAGGCAAGCAGGCGGGCGGGTACAGGGCTGACGGACAAGCAAGCAGACGGGAGAACTCGCGGACGGGCAGGCAAACGGGCGCGGCAACCGTGAGCGTGCCGGGTAAATGCCCAGTGCGCAGACCGGGCTACCGAACGCACGCGCTGGCGGGGCGGGCACACAGGTGGGCGAGTAGTTAAACGAGTGGGGTGTACGTGCAGGTGAGCAAGTGGGCATGCGTACAGGTAAGCGGGCAGGCAGGTGACCTGTCCAAGGCTGAGGGTATGATAGATTACTGCGTACACTGTCGTTTCTCAGTAGATATGCATCTGGAATACAGCCTTTGAATCATTTATTGTGGTGGTGCGAGCATGTGCTCACTCTCCTCTACTCGATGTATTGAGGACTCATGGTGAAGGATCATAGCTAATGTATACGGGATTGTCAGAGGATTACATCTCAGATAGCTCTCATTAGAACTCATTAGGACGTCATTAGGGACTAATTAGTACTAATTATTTTTGGGGTAAAGGAATGGTGGCTAATAGCTAAAGCTTCTAATTTGTACTAATTGTATCAAAATATGTCTCATATACTCCAATCACGTCTCATTAGGGAATTCAGGTTTTCCTGATGTCGCGGCCGTCTGCGCGAACGAGGGGCCGGGCGAGTTCTGGACTCGGGCGGGCGGGGACGGCGTACGCTCGGGGAGGTTATCATCGGTGACGCGACGGCGCTTTCGCGACTCACTGACGTGTCTCTGATACTCGTCTGTCTCCCAGACGGGGCCTTTGGCTACTCCTGGTGGGTGTCCACTTCCGATTGGGATCATAGGCTTCGCCCGTGCTTTGCCTTTGTTCACCTTTTTCTTCCTTTTCTTGTCTTGCACGGGGGGCTCGCCTTGAGCTTCCGGTGATTCGACTCGGGCCGGCTGCGGAGAGGCAGGCTGTTGAGGCTGGGTCGGCGTCGACGTCGATGGGGCGGTGATGGCGGCAGTTGTTTCGGCAGGTTGGGCTGTCGATAGGACGTCGTTGGCCGGGACCGGTTGTGCTGGGACCGTCGGTGCTGGGGTCTCAGCTATAGACGGGCCTAAGGTGGGTCCGCGCACTACCATCGCGGCGTAGGCTTGTGGTGGGGATCGAATCAGCTGTGAGGGCTCGTGAGGATGTTGTGTTGTGCTTACACGGACTACCCAGCCTTCCAGGGCGGGTGCTGTTTTCGCCCGAGGGACCGGGGGAGGTGCCGCGTGTCGCGTTCGTCCGGCTTGTCCCTGGGGGCGGGGATGGCGTGCCTCGTGGAGGGGCCGGGGGGGCAGGCGTCCCAGGGGAGCGCCTGTTTTGTTGTGCGGTTTTGTTTCTCTGAGCCATTGGTGCAGGCAGGCAGTGTAGAGAGGAAAGCTGCGGTTGCGGAAAGCGAGGGTAGCCGTGTTCCCGGGGGAGGAGGCTGACTCTGCCCAGGTAGAGTCGCGTGGAGTTTATGGTGCAGAGCACCGTGAGTTGTCGTTCGATGTTGTAAAACCAGCGGTTGGACGGTCGTGTCAAGGGGGCGGCGTTCGTACGACCGGTGTGTCTACTACCAAAGGGAGACGTCGTCGGTGCGTCTTGACCTCGACTACGGTTTCTATTTCTCGACTTGACGGGAATTGTGACAGTCGTCGAGCTCGCATCGTTCCAGCGCTTCGCCAAAACGACCATCTGGCTGCCTGCGCGGGGTTTCTCGGTTCGTGGTGTCCGTTGTCGGTGGACCGGCTGTTCTGCAGGGAGATCCTGGAGGTTGGGGCGGGCTGGGATTGGTGCTTGCTCTGACACGGGTAGGGATCGATGCCGAGCGCCCGTCTCGGGATCGCGGACGTTGTGTGCGCTTGTGCCTTGTTTGGCAGGGCTGTGGCGTATGTGGCGTATGTCACGGGCGGCGATAGGCCGGGCTTTCATTTGGCCTTAGGCATGTCTCGAGGCCTCACTGCCCAGTGTGTGTTCGAATTATATTCTGGAAATGCAGTCAGGTGTCGTGGCGTGCATCTCTTTTCTCGGTGTGGTGTCTCTAGGTACATTCTGGGCCTGGTGGGGCATAATAGTCTCTCGGTATACTCGTTCGTCGTCTCTTTAGCGCCCTCGCTGGTCCTTCCATTCCGTCCCTTCGTCCGGCTGCGGCGATTTGGGTCGTGATCCCAGCCGGCGTCTTCCGCTGTTTCGGATCAGCGAGATCCTCTTCTCGAGAGTCTCCGTGTCTACATCCCACAGTTCGAATTCGTACGGGTTGTCCGTTGCTTCGGAGAAGGCGGGGTTGTTTAGAAAGGAGGAGTGGGGCGGTGGAAGGTCTGCGAGGGTGGCGTAGTGTGTAGTGTGTGTATAGCTCTCGAGTGTCCCCAATGTGGCCCAAGGAATAGGGACACGGAGGTTGCACGGCGGGGAGGCGCCAGCTACAGTGAACGTGATCCAATGTCGGCGGAGGTCGGACGCCGAAGATAGGCGTCCCGTGCCGGATTGACCCGATTCATTCTGTATGGAGATGAGGGTGCCTCGTCCGAGTTGTTGCGTCGGGTGCTGGTCGACTATCCAGGTGTATCCCCTCCCTCCCCAGACTGGCCGCTGTTGGACACGGACGCGGACGACCTCGGCGGCGTCGTTATCATTGGTTATGTGTAGGGAGGGGAGGGGGATAGGATTACGGGTGGGTTTGAGCCCTGCGCCAGTGTATGGCCGTGAGCGGTTCGTATTGGTGGATTTTTGTTTTTTGGATGGAGGCTGAGGTCGGTCGCAGGGCATATTGGCGGGTTGTATGGGTCGGGGGTGTGTTCGCTTGCATGGTTCATGTCTGAAGCTTTTAAGCTGAGTTTTCATTCAGCGTTAACGTTCAGCGTCAACGTTTGTTTGGTTTCCATTTGCCAGGGACCCGAGACTTACGCTTTATTCTTAAGGTTACGTCTCTTTTAGCGCCTTGGGCGTAATGTCATGCAAGAAGAGGAAGCATATTGTCCATGTAGTTGGTTGAGGTGCCTATGTTTTGGGATTTGGTGGCGAGTTCTGTCCTGGATTGGGACGTGGCGTCTGTATCCCTCATGTTCTCGTCGCTTCTTTATGTCACATGGTTATGGGAGGGAGTTGGGTCGGTTCAATTCTCTCGTGGGCCGGCAATCACGTGTTAGGCTCGGGGAGCTCAGGGCTTTGTCGCGTGGTGCGGGTCATTTATCTGTATAGTTTTAAACGGGTGGCTGGAACTCTAAAGTTTTTTATACCCCGGTGGGGGGCCCTTTGCGCTGTAGGCGCTCGGGGGGATCGGCGCAGTGAGGAGGAAGCGACAGAGAGTGTGTGGGTGGAAGCCGGGTCAATAGGATATGCTTATGAACTAGAGGAGGGGGTGTTCCCTGCTCCGACGCCCTGCTGGGACGTCCAGTCAAAGTCTGGACTGTTGCGGCCGTGATGGGCCTAAGGATTGGGGGCAGGTTATGCCTCTCGTCCTTTTGTGCATGTTGGTTTCACCTCGAAGAGGTTACTTATCCCCCGGACCACGAAAAGGTCTGCACAGGACTCGTCTAGGAGACGTAGCCCTCCCGGGGGACTTCGGCTTATCACGCAGGTATGACTCGGAGGCCGGTCCCCGTCTGGAACTGCCTATCCTAGGTGGTGATAGGAGCGCTCCGGAGCATCAGGGAACATCAGGTTATGTTCCCTGCGATCCCATGCCTACTGATGTCACACGGTGTATTACATCGGTAACTTGATTCGGGAGTATTTTTTGCGAGTCAGTATGCTTTCCCCACCTTCACCATTATTGGGGATAACTGTGACGCTCATACGGACCCCATAGAAGTACACAAACCTGGGTTTCATTCGGCCATTAGTCGACGACATGGTCCGCGATAATCCAGCAGAGCGACCGACGATGGACGAAGTCGTCGTGCGCTTCGCAACAATCCGCAGAAAGCTACATTGGTGGAACTCGCGCGCCAGGCTGGTGTGTCGTAGCGAGTGGTACATCGTTCGCTTTGTCTTTGGCATCGGACATGTCGTTCGCACCGCTCGTTACGTCTTCAAAGGACTGCCCGCTGTTCCTGTTCAATCGTCGACATGATCGTTATTTGCTCACTCGAATCGGGATACCTCGATCTTCCCTGCCATGTTGCTATCGGTCTTGCTATGCTCTGCTGTCGTCGGTCTGCTCAGTAATGACGGTCGTTGTTCCTCGTGGGACCTGTTGCGACTGACTATGCCATTGCGACTGCATTCGCCAAGGGCCAAAGTCATCTAGCTGGACCTCAACTACTAGGGTTCGACACTAATCCTGACGCCGGCTCGAGTTCAAACTCAGCATCTCGAGTTATGCCCCCCTGTGGAGCTGGCCCAAGGTATCTTGACTCCCTCGTACCGTTTCTCAAAATCTGGCAAGAGAACAAACACTTCCATACGCTAGTCACCTTGGCAACCGTTGTGCAGATAAGTCGAACCGTGTACACCTTCGAGAATTGGAGTTGCAGACAATAACTTACGGCAGCAGGAAGTCACACAGATAGTACTAGGCAATTGTCTTGTTCTAAAGCTCGAGCGTCTAACTAGATGCGGACAGCATGCTACTCAGGCTGCCAGTGATGTCGATGGTCCCGGACTATAAGCACAGCACGCGATAACCCCCCTCTCCTCCCGGTCTCTCCTCATTCTCCCCATGACATCAACACCCGTGCCAGAAACTTTACCGATCTCCACTCATGTCAAGGCTACACCTGCATCACCCACTGTGGCAAAAAGCCTGGTCAAGGGCAACACCGCGATCTCGGATTCCGACTGGGATGGGTTCCTTAGCAGGCCGAGGAAACCCCCAGGTTCATTTACCACGGCCGAATACTACTGGCGTGACCGCCAGAGATGGCTGAAGGAATGCGGCTACCTGCTGCGTCCCCGCTATAATCCTGACTGGAAACCGTCATGGGTCGGCACCGACAAGGACTGGTACACATGTGAAGACAGCCTTATTCCACTAGGGGTGAGTGGCCGTTACGGTGTCACTCTTCATGTTTAGAAGGTTGAACGAGCTACCAGAGGGGTCATGTCTTGGATGCGACTCGCATCTCGGACGGTGAACTGGTTGTCCTAAAGAAGATCTCACATGAAGCGCATCCGACCGAAGCGGAGATTGGCCAATTATTGTCATCGGAGCCTCTTGCGTCTGACCCTGCCAACAATTGCGTCCCTATTCTCGGCGTCCTCAGCGATCCTCAAGACAAAGATATACAGCTCATCATCATGCCAATGCTACGAAGGTGCTTCAGTCCGCAATTCCAGACAGTTGGCGAAGTGCTTGAGTTTTTCCGACAAGCACTTGTGGTATGTTTTATCACCGAGTGTGTGGTCATCGTAATAATTGCTTTTATGCAGGGTCTGCGATTCATGCACAGACGTAACGTTGCTCATAGGTAACCCAGTTTAAGCTTCGGCTATGCTGTGCTAAGTGAATTGAGCTAGAGATGCGACGATCCTGAATATCATGATGGACCCTACACCAATGTTTCCCGAAATGTTTCACTATGCATCTGAACTGTACAATCGCGACCGCACTGGCCCTGCCAAATGCTTCGCACGCACGGAACGTTCGCCAAAATACTTTTGGACAGACTTTGGTCTGTCGGTGAAGTATGATCTAGACTCGGAGACAGCCCCCCGTCTGGAGCTACCTATTATGGGCGGCGATAAGACTGCGCCAGAACACCAAGGAGAACTATATCATGTCCCCTGTGACCCAATTCCTACGGACGTATACTACGTCGGCAATTTGATGCGAGAGTATTTCGTACAGGCAAGTACCAGTGTCCTCGACTTGGAGGGTGTCTGACCCATGCTTCGTAGAAGTACACAAACCTTGAGATCATGCGGCCATTAGTCGACGACATGGTCCGTGATGTCCCCGCAGAGCGACCGACGATGGATGAGGTCGTGGAGCGTTTCGAGGTGACTTGCAAGAAGCTGCACTGGTGGAACTTACGCGCCCGGCTAGTGCGCCGTAGCGAATGGTACATTGTTCGATTCGTACTGGGCATCGGACATGTTGTTCGCACCGTTCGTTACGTAGTCAAAGGACTCCCAGCTGTGCCCGTTCCGCCGTCGACATGATCATCAGTAATTCGCATTCCTTAGGATACCACATTTCTCTAGCTGTCTCGCTATCAGTCTTGCTATGCTTGTTGTCGTCGCAATTGTACTCATGAAATCCCTTCTTCTGAATGAGATCTAACTTACAACCTACTGGCAGACTCGAATTATGACGCATGACGGGCCGAGCCTAGTCTCCCCAGGCAGACGTAGACAATTCCTTCAACCTTCGTGCCTCAGGATATCCTTGTCTGAGCCGAGCCTCAATTTTGCTTCATGAACATCCGCATCACCCCAATTTCATATTTGTGGTACATACATATATATATCTCACTGCCCCTGCCGATCGCTGAGCGTCTGTCACAACCGACATGAACCCACCTGGACCCATCGCCGGACCGTCCGCTCTACAGGCTGATCCTCTCGACGACGCAGCTCCGGAACGCGACCTACCTTCCGCGCACTTCTACTCCGTCGAGTACCCTGGCTATGTCAAGCCCACGTCTGTGTCTCTTGCCGTCGAACGCCTCGGCGGCCAGTTGAGAGTCGAGAACGCGTTCAAACGCGCGTCGTCCAAGACTGAGTCGCTCCTCGAGCTGTCTTTGCGCCCCGGAAATCCCTTCGCGCATCCTGTACCTGGAGATGTTGTTTCAACGAGCAATATCTTGCTCAAGGTCGTCAAGCGGAAGCGGAAGCGGGGGGCGGCCACAGACGGGACTGTTGGAGAGTACACGGTAGAGGCTCTTGGGATGATACCTAAGACGGCACGATTTCGTAGTATGTCCTGCACGGTTCATCACGTCCATCACATCGTTCATATGCGCTTTTCGCAAGGCATGGTAGACTATCAATACAAGCCAGACATGGAGGACCCGATCGCCAAACTCCGTTCGGCAATGGACACTATGGACGGTGAGCAACAATCTGGCATTTCACTCATCGCGTAGTCATGCCCTTGCAGTGGATGGCATCCTTCGCTACCGTGTTCCTGAGGAGAGGGAAGATTATACCGTCTCCGAAGACCCGGCTGCAATGGACATAGACCCGAAGCTTACGGGCACCGACGAGTCTGCGGGGCCCAAGATGAAGAGCAATCTCAGGCTATTCACCCCACCTCTGTTCAGCCGCCAAGTCATTCCACAAAACTACAAGTGAGTAGGGTCTCGTATAGTCTGCGTTGAAAGTTGACTGTATGCGCGTCAGCTACAAGTCGAACTCTGCGTCTGTGGTCACGACCGTGGTCGACGAAGAGACCGGAGAAGAGAAGAAACGCCTGATCAATCGGATGCGCTGGAAGGGATACGGACCCATTTCTATCTCATTCTCTGATACTGGGGTATGTCGTCACTGCGCCGCTGCCGCATGTTGGAGTTGGCTCTTACGACACTTCAGGTCCCAGACAAGCCGTCTACACCCGTCGAAGAGCAGCGTGCTAACGCCGACCGGAAGATATTGAAGCGACTGCAGGAGGTATAGTTGTCTATCAACGGGCTGCGATCGATTTTTGAGATGGACACGCTGCCAGCTCTTTCAAGAACGAGCTATCTGGACACGCGCAGCGATCTTCAACCAGTTTATGCCCTTTGAAGTGCGCGAAATCATCAAGTGAGTGCACCTCTACTCGATCCACACAATCGTTGTCTCTGACCCAACACCTGAAGTTCCAAAGTTCTTCTGCCGTTGGTGTCGTATGTCTTCCAGGACGGTCCCTGGAGAGACACGCAGATTCGGCTAGGATACGATCCTCGTCAGGACAAACAAGCCCGCATGTGAGCCGCATGCTCTCCTTCTGTTACGGTACAACTAAGGAGACGGTCTTGCAGCTACCAGCGTCTCTACTTCCGCAACACTAACCATCCCATCGTCCGACCTTCCGTCGTCAGCAAGCGGCAGGAGGGCAGGACCGAGCTCGCGCAGAACCGGACGGAAGCCAGTAGTCAGGATGACAAGCGGTAGGTTGCGAGCAACTCAGTGTTTCGTGATCCTGATTGTGCCATGCTACACGGTGGATAGGACGCATATATTCGACGGTGTCACCGTCACGAAGGAGACCGCTGCCTTCCAGCTCTGCGACATCACTGACCCCATGCTAAAAGAGATGATCGAAGACGAAGAGGATGTCCGCGACGAGTGCAACGTTCGTACAGCGCATCACCCGAGGTCGAACACTGTATTGATGGACTGCCCCTTGCAGGAACGCGATGGCTGGTACTCGACGGAGGCCTTTGAGCGGATCAAGACTGTGCTTCGCCACAAATTCTTCTCGCTGCTGGGCGGCCACGTAGCAACCCGTGAGGAGTGCGAAGCGCTTCTCGTTCCACAAGAGGGAACGAACAAGCTCCCGCCACGCCCAACGCAACGGCTCAGATTCGGGAAGCACAACATGGCGAAGGGCGCACTGCCGCCTGAAGACGCCGCGGTACGTCCTGGAGGTCGGAATGCACATGTATGCTGCCTAACGCTCACGGCAATCTTGCAGGCACATCGGCTCATGGCTACCCTGCAGCAAAAGACGAAAGATGGACGCTTCCACGAGCACACTTGACACTGTAAACTACCTTCTTTCTGACACATCCTTGTATCGCTATTTCCCGTGTCCAGGCGATGGTTGCAACCCCTGTAGCTGTAGCGCGTGTTTAGTTTGCTTCCCACCAGATAGATGCATGTTTTTCGGCTTTTGTTTTCTGCGTGCGTGGAGGTGCCTAAGCATACTGCAGTGCATACACATGGGGCTGCGACGATAGCGGAAGTGATAGGATACATGGTGACGCGCCGTGCCCAAGAGTGGGTGGATCCCCTCTCTCAACGTATGGCGCTCTCGACGGCGATTCGAATGGAGGGAACCGATGATCGGTGGGAAGGTCATGCCTCTGCCTCCAAACGCGCTTTTCGCTGCGGGTCAACATAACGTCAGGATGCCAGCTGGAGAAGAGAGTAGATTGTGACGCACTGAACCGACCAACGCATACTTCGCATTGCGGCGGAACTGGTGACACGAGTTAATCGTGCGTCGGCGCAAATCCTGGACTACAAAAGTATATTCAACGTACCTTGGCATCAACCTGCAGAATGATGAGTATCAGCTCCATAGTCTACGTGCAACGATTCGGTACGTACACCCTTCATCGACCTTGTCCTGTGGCTCGTGGGCGTCTTGATGCCATTGCGGTGCGCCTTGCGGCTCTGGTTGTGGTTGGTATGGCTGAATTCGGTGCGAGCCGCATAATCAGCACCTCGACAACAGCAAGACCTCGGAGGCCACGTACTTCTTGGACTTGGCCATGGCGTCGAGAGCGTGTCTTGAGGATGGGCTACTGGCGCTTAACGTCCGTGGCTACCCAGTAGGAGCCCTGGGAAAGTTCACTGGATTGGTGGCTGAGGAACTGTGCAGCTGCTCGGCATCGCCCGTCTCTCCTTGATTAGCCATTCGAACATGATGATGCTGCCTATAAACTTGCTATGTATAAACAAGGAATAATCCGAACCTTAGGCCAGAGTAGTGCGAAGAACAGCGAGGTAGATTGCAATACGTGTTCTGTCTTCTATGCGAGAACATCAAGACAGTAGAACAGTGTACTACTGTATGTAGAAGGCTGAGTATGTAGGGGCCATACATATCACTTGAACTTCAAGCCGACCGACTCGGAAGTCTCAACGTACTTAGGCCTTAGCTGCCTATCACTGGTATCATATGCCTATACCAAATGTAACGCAATTGGGGTGCGTGATATGCTCATTATGTTCACGCGTCACAAATCGCGCTCGGTCGAGGGGACGAACCGTCACAGGCGCTGCGTCGCAAGCGGGACCTGCGCCAGCCTTGGACACAACTTACGATTGACCCTGCGTAAACTGTTCCCCGTGCCCTTTCTGGTCCGTGTTCCCTGGGATTCTTTGAGCCCGAGATGTGGCAGTACAATACGGTCTCAGAATACTGGAATTGAAGGTCAGGATCAAGTCGAAGCAGTCAGTCCGTTCGAACGCCGTTGGCGGCTTGCCGCAGCGGGCCGCTGGCTTCCCGCGACTTCAACTACGGGCGCTTGTTCGATCGTATACGATCTGAGATGCCGTGGGGTCGGCCGAGCCATCCAGCCAAGCTCGAGTCATTTTACCCCGCTGACTCAAAAGGCCACACGCCGTTGGCCGGCTGCTCTCACCTGGTCGCAAGGTCTCGACGCGATTATAACCGAATACTCACTTTGACCCACTCACTGCGTCAGTCATGCCTGCACCAGTAACGCAGCCTCGCACACTTTACGACAAAATCTGGGACGACCATGTTGTGTATGTTGTGCAGTCGTTCTCAGGAGAGGGGTATGGCTGACTTAATTGCAGCGATGTCAAGGAAGATGGTCTTGCTCTCATCTACATCGACAGGTGAGTCATTTTGCCAGTTCTTCAGAGCTGCACTCATGATTGCTCTGTAGGCATCTCGTCCACGAAGTGACTAGTCCTCAAGCCTTCGAGGGCCTGTATGTTCAGCACGTCGCACACGTTCGAATACTTGGACGCTAACTACTGGCACAGTCGTACTGCAGGTCGTCGGGTACGGCGAACCGACTGTACCCTGGCTACTGTCGATCACAACATTCCGTGAGCATCTCAGGTGCACGCAGCTATGTCATGTGCACTAAACACTTTACCAGTACTGCATCCCGCAAGAACCTCACCACTGTCGAGTCATTTATCGAACAACCCGACTCAAGAGCACAATGTCAGGCGCTAGAGGAAAACGTCAAGGACTTCGGCTTGACGTACTTCGGTATGAAGGACAGGCGGCAGGGTATTGTCCATATAATCGGACCTGAGCAAGGCTTCACTGTGCGTGCTGTCACTTCCTCTCACGCAGGATGTATTTAATTCGCCATAGCTCCCCGGTATTACCTGTGTCTGCGGAGACTCGCACACATCGACGCACGGCGCGTTCGGCTCCCTCGCGTTCGGTATCGGCACGTCGGAGGTCGAGCACGTCCTCGCCACGCAGACCCTCTTGCAGAAGAAGGGCAAGAACATGCGCATCAGCGTCGAAGGCGAGCTGCTAGAGGGCGTCAACTCCAAGGACGTGGTCCTGCACATCATCGGTGTGATCGGCACCGCAGGTGGCACAGGCTGCGTCGTCGAGTACGCCGGGAACGTCATCCGCAACTTCAGCATGGAGGCGCGCATGAGCATCTGCAACATGAGCATCGAGGGCGGCGCGCGTGCGGGCATGATCGCGCCCGACGAGATCACCTTCGAGTACCTCCGCAACCGGCCGCTCGTGCCGAAGGGTGAGACCTGGGAACGCGCGGAGCAGTACTGGCGCACGCTCAAGTCGGACGAGGGTGCGAAGTTCGACATTGAGGTCAACATCCGTGCGGAGGACATCCTCCCCACCGTCACCTGGGGCACGTCCCCGCAGGACGTCGTGGCCATCACCGGCAAGGTGCCCGACCCCGCTGCGATCACAGACCCGAAGAAGGCCACCGGCATTGAGCGCGCGTTGAAGTACATGGGCCTCACGCCGAACACGCCCATGGAGGAGATCACCGTCGACAAGGTCTTCATCGGCTCGTGTACAAATGCACGTATCGAGGATTTGCGCTCTGCTGCGCGGATCGTCCTCGCCGCGGGCCCTGATGCAAAGGTCGCGCCGAACGTGTCCGCGATGGTCGTCCCTGGCTCCGGCCTCGTCAAGCAGCACGCGGAGGCGGAAGGCCTCGACGTGATCTTCAAGCGTGCAGGCTTCGACTGGCGCGAAGCGGGCTGCTCGATGTGCTTGGGCATGAACCCCGACCAGCTGAAGCCGGAAGAGCGCTGCGCGAGCACGAGCAACCGTAACTTCGAGGGTCGGCAGGGCCCGCGCGGGCGCACGCACTTGCTGAGCCCCGCGATGGCGGCGGCGGCGGCGATCACAGGCAAGCTGACGGATGTACGGAAGTTCCTGGGCCTCGAGAAGGCGTCCGACCCCAAACTGAAGGTCACGAGCGCTATGGACCTGTTGTCCGACCCTGTGCTGCCGGCTCCTGAGCCTGGACGGGAGGCAACAAGCTCGTCCGCCGCGGGTGACAAGCCACTGCCGCCCGCGGAGACTGTGTCCAGTGTGCCGCCGTTTCGTGTTTTGAAGGGCATTGCGGCGCCGCTGCATATCGAGAACGTCGACACGGACATGATCATCCCTGCGGTGTATTTGAAGACGTTGAAGCGCACTGGCCTCGCGAACGCACTCTTCTTCGCTCTGCGCAATAACGCGCAGACGGGCGAGAAGACCGACTTCGTCCTTAACCGGGAACCGTATACACAGGCGAAGATCCTCGTCTCGGATGCACCCAACTTTGGCTGTGGCAGCTCGCGTGAGCACGCACCATGGGCCCTGTGAGTATCCTGGACTTGGCTGTGTGTCACTAGTACTTACGTGTCGTGGTTTACAGGAAGGACTTCGGCATCCTGTCCGTGATCGCGCCGAGTTTCGGAGACATCTTCCGTAACAACTGTATGCAGAACGGCATGGTCCCGATCGTCCTGCCACAGGCACAGTGTGCTGCCCTTGCGGAGGACGCCGCGGCACAAAAAGAGCTCGAAGTCGACCTGGAGAAGCAGGAGGTGCGCCGACCAAGCGGCGAGGCCTTCTCGTTCGATATCGACCCCTTCCGGAGACACTGCCTGCTGAACGGCCTCGATGACATCGCGCTGACGCTGCAGAGAGTGGACAGGATCGAGGAGTTTGAGCACAGGAGGAGCGAGATGTGGCCGTGGCTGGACGGGTTTGGCTACCAGGGCAGGAAGATCCCTGTGTCGCCGAAAAAGCGCACAAAGATGGAGTGGTAGGTCCGTCTGCAAGCTCAATGTAAGGATGTATGTGCATGCTCGATGTTATGTATATGTAATGTTAAGAGCCTCATGCTTCACTGCGTGGGATCCAAAGTTTTCAAGGTCGCGTGTGGAGACGTCACAAATCTACGGAGGGTGCGATATCCTGAATGACGAAGTCTATGTGCAGGCGTCTCAGTATCAGTTATCGACGCTTACAGTAGTCAGGCCGTTTTTTGAACGTTGATACAATACAGAATCCGCGTCGTACGAAGTCGATCGCAACGTGGGGTACAGAACATCCTATACATTCAATCAATGCCAGATACCCTGATGCCCTCCGAGCAATTGTCGGCCTACGTCACTTGCGGTAACAATCAAGGAATATGCATCACGGACAACTCCTGTAAGTAGTGGGTCTGTGCGCGGCTTCAGTCTCCATCGTCGCGTCCAGAATGTCAAGCTATCACGGATGGACTGCCATTGTGCTAGCGCTTGCTGTGCACTTGGCCTTGACGCAGGATCAGGCTGTGTCATGGACTTCACCAGGGGGGTCAAAAAGTCGAAGTTCAGGTATTTCTAGTGGCGACGTGTGAGCATATCCCTTCCGAGTCGCCACATGAGACGCCGCTGCGACGTACTTTTTGGAACTCGTTGTGCAACATGTTTCCTATGATGAAGACGTCGACCTTGAACGGGTCATACGGGTCATCCTCGGACAGCTCTGGCACCTCCTGGTCTCGACCGGCAACACCAACTACTGCCCTCGACTCGGCGTCTGGAGGAAAGTAGGTAGACAGGCCGAAATCAACGTAGTAGTACTTCACTGAAACAGATCTTCGAGAGACGTAGGGTGCCCATCCTTGCCCACCAGGAAGACATCTCCTTGATGGGATGAAAGCCCTTGGGATACATGGCGCTCGCGTCCATCATGATGTTCTTGTATTCGCAGTCCCTTGAGAGCCAATGCATGAGGTGGGAATTAAAGCATGAAATGGCTCCACATACCGATGTGCGACACCGTGTTCGCGTAGAAACACAAGTCCCTATGTGAGCATTTAATATGAATGTGTTGTGCGCCACCGCGAGTACAAACCTCCAGAATCTGGTTTGCGAAGTCGACGAATTCCTCGCCCGTCTCCATTGGAGGTCTATCGATGAGGCGCAGAAATGGCATGACCATGTAGGAGATAGCAGCGTCGTCGTCGTCTTGGAACATATTAAGAATGGGTACACAGTGGTTTCGAGGCTCCGTCGAAAGAGGTTCGGAAGAGAGCATTGATGCTATCTGGGACTCTGTGTCTCCTGTCCTCACTCGCTTGATATACACGAGCTTTCCATCTGACATCCGCGTGGCATCTATGAGGTGCTCGCGATGCTGAACAATAGAATCGCTCAATACTGAGGCTAGCTCCATAGCATTGTTCGATGTACGTACGGGTAGTGGCCATATGTCTTCTGTTGATAATGGATGCTCCCCAGACGTGAACCACGACGGCACCCAACCCGGGCGGTACCTTGGTCGTAGCATGTAGCCGCGCGAGGCGAGGAAAGGTTGCCGATCCCTCCAACGTTCTTCGTCATATCTGAGTTGTGCGTGCACAGCTGCTGGTCTGTCTGGTACGCAGTGTGATTCGGCATGGCTGTTTGGAATGGCTGTAGGTGATGTAGACATACGGAGGGAACTGGGCGCGGGATAGTGATGGTCTGTTCAGACTGAGACGATCTGAGGATATCGTCCAATGTCTGGGCATTCAAGTTGTGCATACATAAACAAACATGGACCCACAATAACTGTGCACAAAGCTGTGTCTGGTCGTCCTCGAGGCCTGCCAGTGCAACTAGAGGGTACAGCACTGTGGGCCCATCTGTATTGTTGTACTTCTCCTTGCGTTCTCACCGTGCGGTTGCATTTCGCGTACGGTTCGCTATATACAGCATATTGATTGAATGCCATGTCATCGACGACATAGCATCCTTGGGCTTGGCACGAAGCGATGCGGTTCAGTCATGCGTCACCTGCATAGACAGCATGAGGATCCTAGGTATGGTTGAATCTTCCCGCAGTTTGTAGGCGTCACACTGTTAAAAACAGATCAATTGAATCTCCCATGGCGACGCCGATGTGAAGATGTCTCGCCATTCCTCTGGACGAGAGGAGGGTAAAGCTGGGCTCCTTGACTGAAGTACTGACCTGCAGCCGGCGTTACGTTGTGAGTTCCTTGTTTAATGGAGCAGGCACGTGTGGTGGCGGAAGCAGTGGCGGGTGCGTCGGCCGTGACATTGGCAGCGGGCGCCCCGCCAGACAGGGACAAGGCAGCTGGTGACGACTTCCGCTCCCCTCGCCCCCATGCTCTCCCTCCCTCCCCAGCACAGACCGTCCACCACCAGTCGCCCGCGATGAGTACCGTGTTGCAGCCAGCGCCGAGCGCCGGTTACGCGCTCGCTGCCGGCTCGGACCAGAGCGAGTACGGCGGGAACAAAAGCGCAGGCGAGTCTAGCTTCTTGCCGCTTTCCAGGGCCTTCCTCGTGCTCATCTAATGACCCCCCGCAGTGGTCCATCTCAGGCCACAGGTCATCAGACGCGACACAGACAACATCCTATCCTACTACCAGTCCGAACATGCTGGCCGGACGTACTTGGCCTCTGATGCAAGTACAGCTGATCTCGTCCCACCTCCATCAGCTATGAGAACAGGCTCTGGTTCTTCGTCTGAATACTCCTCGGATTCTCGAGAGCGCCCATCAGATGCGAGTTCTAGTCAATCGCACGAAGCACGACACGATTCCATTAGCACCATTAGCACGGAAGGTGGACATAGAAGAAGGCCGAGTGCGCCATCGGAGGGCGGTGCGGACAGGCGACGACTCGCGATCGTTGAGTTGGACGATTCTCTTCCCGCTTCTCTCACTCGCAAACGTAGCCAGGCCTCGAGAGACAATCACAATGCGGACCTGTCGGCGACGACGACCATTTCCTCGCGGCGCGGCATGTATGTCGAGGGCCTTGCGCTTGTTGCCCCACCCGACGCCTCGCCGCGAGCGTATACCGATCTCACGCCTCCCTCCACTGCTCCTTTGTCCACCGAGCGCCCCCCACCCTCTGCTCTCCGACCTCCTATTGTCCACCAACGCTCACAGTCCGACATTACCACCGCGACCCCAAGGTCTCGCCACCAGCATAAATCCTCTCGTGACATCGGCATTGTCGGTGCCGTCCCATCGACGGCGGAGTCCATCGAACGGCCGGTGACCGTCGGCAGCCAGCAATCGGCGCTCAAACTGCCCATTTTCCAGACGCCCACCGACTCGCGTTCGCCGACGCCGGGCAGCAGCGCCAGGACGCCCGACCCGTCCGAGTCGAGCATGCTCAGCCCACAGGGACCCTATAGCGCGGGATCAAGCGCGTTGACGACGCCGGACCACGACCGACACGATCAGGAGGCGCTGACGCCTGCCATCGGCGAGTCAAAGGAAATTGGGCAGCCCGTCGTGGGCCCTGTCATTGTCAACACGTCGGAGGCGCTGCGGCATGGGTTGCAGAACAGGCAAGTGCAGTCAAGCGTGTCTAGTCCGGGTGACGTGTTCGCATCGCGCCAGTCGCAGACGTCGCCGTTCTCGGTGGTGAGCACGTCGCGCTCTGCGTCTCCGTATGTCCACTATGACCCTGGCACACACTCGCGTGCTGGTCCTATGCCAGCACCACCACACCCTTTGTATGACGTCGACCCTCGATCAGGAGCGCTTAGTCCTGCGCCGCCCCCGCGACCACCACGCACGTATACGCCGCTCCCCCATCAGCTCAGCGTGACCCGCAGGCTCTACGGGATGCGTTGCAGCTGCCGCAGTCGGTATCGGCGGTGTTGGCGTCCAAGGTGCCCTCGCAATCCCCGAAGCGAAACGATTCCGAGTTGACGGAAGATTCGGTGTATTCTCAGGAGGAGAGGGAGCCGGGCGCTGGGTGAGTGACATGTTTCTGCATGTTTCAGCAATGTGTAACGCGTTGTATCCCCAGCCCGTCGCGATCACTGTCAAAACGGTCCATGCACGTCAGGGAAGGCGCACACCCGCCGTCGACCGTAACTAACACGCCACCGACGTCCGCTGAGGAAGTGCCAGAGACAAAGAGCGATGACGTCCGGCATGTGGAGGCTATCAAAGCACCGCCGGTCTCGTTCACCTTACATGACGACGCAAGGAGTGCAGAGTCCGTTTCATCCTCCTCGCAAGAACCCTCTCTCCACCCAGCCAGGTCTCGCAAGGACCTCCGAAGAGAGAGCAGCTGGGTAAGCATGGCCCAAGAGAGAGTCCAGCGTGCACTCTCCCCCGGCCGTGTCTCGAACATCTCGCGTTCGCCCTCTACCTCACCCTCCATGTTCTCGCCGACCCCGCCGCCGAAGAGCATCCACGGCTCGCTCGAGGACGTGTTGCACGCGCCCGGTGCCGGGCATAACCCGCTCAAGGGCGCGCTGACGAACTTGAAGCGCTTCTCTGCGCTGCCGCGCACGCCTTCATTGACTTCGGCGCGGGCAAAGAGCCCGACTCCAAGCCCACAAGCGAGTCCAAGACACTCAGAGTCGAGGGACGCGCCATTGCCTGTGCCTCCTGTCCCACTTCCGGTGAAGCCGAAGGTGGTGCGGCCGAGGATTAAGGCGGCGTGGCCGGAGGCGATGGCGTGTCGGGATGTGATGGCGAAGAGGAACCCGCTCGAGCGCTCAATTGGATACGCACATAAGATCAACGAGTTGGCGTTGTATGACTGCGGGTTGACGGAGTGGGTCCAACTGCGACAGTTCTCTGGTGAGCATGCACGTGCGCTGTCGTTCAGCGCTGTGACTGACGAGTCTGCAGCGACGGGCACCAGGGCGGGGTCCTCCAGCAAAGTGAGACTCATGGTGACACCGGCAACACCTGCGTCCCGAGCGTTCGTCCCACAGCCACGACATACGTCCCGGGGCTCTGAGGCATCTGGGATGACGTTCCCGACGCGGCCGGACGCATACAGTGCGACTGATCTG